ACATAGTTAATGTTAAATGACAAAAGATATGTGAACACTGATTTTAGAAAGTTTGATCGTTCTACTTCTTGTATTAGATTTAAGATTTTATCCCGATAATAATCCAAAACAATTAAAAGTTTTATAACTAGATAAAATATTATTACTTTTCTACACCTTATATATTTTTCTGTACTTAATTAGAATAATCTGGAATTGTAGGAACGTAAATAGTATAAAGTGTAACACATTAGTCTAAAAGACTTGACCAACAATATAGGGAAGAATTTGTCTTCTGAAACGCAACTAAAGGAGCAGTACCGTACTTATGAATGTTTATCTTTGGACAATGATGACAAAGGTACGGCCGATTTCGTAAAAAATTATAACATTTGTCCTTATCCGCGAAGCACCGTTCGCTTCTCATTCCTTACTACCCTGTTCCACACATTTATGGAAGTAATGTTTCATTCATTGGCTATGCATTTTATTTCCGTTTAAAAGGGAGTGGGGTCGTATTTTTTATTATCCTAGAAACTCGACGCCATGTGTAACTAGACCGTTATCGCAAACTGACATCTCCTGCTGCAACTACTATACGTAGAATATGTCCGCATTTAAACGGCCCCTATGTACAAGGAGCAGCACAACCACCATAATGCTATGTAGTATGCCAGCGCGGGAGATAACGCGGTATAACCTGAGTGACACATATCGGAGGTTTGAGCTGCGATGTACGTAGAGAACATCCTCACGTTCAGGAGGGATCAGGATGTTATGCTGATTAACGAGGAATCTCGAAGGAGTCAGCCCTTTGTTGCCCACTACATATTGTGCCACCACCCTCATATTATATTAGCAATGTTAATTTAACATGAAATCTTTTGTTTCTTCCTGCAAATAAAAGGAAATTTTCCTAGTCGATTATCCAACATAGCTGTATTTAAAATAATTATCTTTTCGCCTTTTAGAGAATATTTCAAATAGGATATACATCATCGTTCTACGGAGGCAATAGAAAGCAGATGACGAGGCAATAAAAAGCACTGAACATTTAGAGATTATGCAATTTGCAAAATTTGCAAATGGCGAGAGAAGTGCCTATTCTAAATATTTTAAAATTAATCGCGTTCAGATCGATTGTTCTTGAACATGCTCGGCCATGTTTTCTGCTTAAAAGATTTTACAGTTTAATCGTTCCATTGAACTGATAATGAACGGATAACGTGCATAAATGAATGTGCTGATTCGGCACCATTCATTATTCGTATAATATTAAATCAACGTAATATACAAAGAAGTACCTTGAAAATAATTTTTAAGTTTTAAAATAGGGTATGGGTATCGAATATTTCGACTTTTTTGTATAATCGAATTAGGCATCAGAGAAATTTTACAATCAATTTATAATTTCTGTTAGGTGACAAGAATAAGGTAGATAATAATGCAAATGAAAATAATTAATTATTATCCGAGCGAATTTTGTAAATCTCATCCTAGTTGATTATCCTATATTGTTTGTACAGCAAAAATATTTAATTTAGCAATTAACCTTTGTCAATTAATTAATATCGTTAGAAGACATATTATTATACACGTTGAGAATTTTGAATTTTAATAGCCGAAATAATGGTAAAGGAACGCTAAATTTACACTTGTAATTAATATTAGAATAATTATATATTTATTTGATGGACGATTTCAATGATATTCATCGATAAACACTTGCACGCGCCTCAGCACTTTCTTCTATACCCGACTGTTAACCGACTGGACAGTTTACATTCATCTTTTTTCGAGACGTCGCGCACACATACCTCCACACACTGATATTCACATACAAGTATTTCCACTACGCATCTAACCTAGTCCAGCACATAAAATTATACATAGTTCAATAGTACAATAAGAACCTGACCATGTGAAACTGGACATTTACATATATTATGTGGGATAATTAGTGATGTTTGTTTATTATTAATAATGCAATGTGTATTATAAGAATGTATTGGAAAGCTGTTAATGTACTATCTGCTGAATTTTGTACCGCATCTGAAAATCAAATTTGTTTCTTACTTTAATTTTCACATAAATGTAGGTCCCAACTTAATTAACCTCTTCGTTACATTACTTCTAAAAGTAGAGGATAAAATTAAAATAAAAAAAAAGCATGTATATCTCAAGACAAAATTCACGCAATGTAGCAGGAAATCTTAATCGCTTCGACTGGAACTTCGTTTGGCGCGAACACCATTCTTCAACGCGATATTTTACGCGTGTAAAAGTACGAGGTGTCATGAAAGCAATGTCGGTCAAACATTTTCGGCTTGAAATGGAGTAGAGGAGTTGTGTGTGCTTGTTTCGCAAAAATGCAATAAAATGTCTCTTGACATATGGCGTCGCGTCATCGAACGGGATATTCGAAACAAAAAATCCTCGCAGCTTTTGTTATCTGGCCGATACATTCCGTGCGCGAAATAAAACAAAGGCAACGGTCTGGCGCGCGTCCGCGCTTTCGGCGGCTATGTATAAAAGGGGGAATCTGTCGAGAGTTAATAAAAAACTTGATAATAAAGTAACTGATCTTGTTGAGAATTGTGGATCTTGATAGCTGAAATAATGTAATGAACATTAAATTTACACTTAGGATTAATATTAGAATGGTTATATATTTATTTTATGGACGATTTCTAATATATTCATCGATACACACTTGCAGGCGTCTCAGTACTTTCTTCTGTACCCGACTGTTAACCAACTGAATAGTTTACATTTATCTGTTTTCTAGATGCCACGCACACACATACCTCCACACACATACAAGTATCTCTTTTTTTCTTTATATTTACGTGGAGGAAATACGCACTGACGCTAGGCCGCCTCTGGGGAAAGCGGCGTGGTAGTGTCGGACTCCAACCGTCTAAAACCCCCACGATGACCGTCCCGGTTGCGATCGAGAGAGGTCCGGGAACCGGTGCGAGCGACACCCCCCTCCCCCCCGCTC